GCCAGAGACCAACTGCAACCAAGGTATGTGACCTTAGTGGGAACCGAACCCAAGTCTCTCTGGACCACAGGCTGACGCTCCAACTGCTGAGCCAAACTGGCCAGGGCAAGACAACCATTTTTAAGTGAACAGTTCATTGGCATTAAGTACATTCACATTGTTGTACAACCGTCACCCCATCCATCTCCAGAACTTTTCATCTTCCCAAATTGAAACTCTGTCCCCATTAAATACTAACCACCCCCTTCTCCATCCCCTGACGACCACCTCTAGGTCCCTCCTATAAGTGGAAACATGCAGTATTTGTCCTTTGTGACTGACATTATTTCCTAATGTCTTCAGGGTCCCCTGTCAGAGTTGGTCTGGCGTTTACTCACACTGCAGGGTCAGCCTTTCTTTCTAGCTCCCCCTCGGTTGTCTTTCATGGGTTACTGGTGTCAGCGCCCTCACTCCCGCCCAGTCTGAGGCCGACGATGCTGCAGACCGGTGTCCCCATCTCTATGGGTGGGGGCACTTTTCTCTTTCACCGAGGACACCACGACTTCCCACTTGCCGTGGAATTGCTGTGCATTTGGTGGTGTCTGAGTCCTGATTCAGCTGCTAAATGTATCCTGCCAGTGAGGCTGACCTCTAGAGTGTCCCAAAGCCTGAAGGCTCACGGCCTTGGGCAGCTCTGGGAGGTGGGGCATTGGCAGACTCTTCCATACTTGTCACCTGCCGCAGAGCTCCCGGCTGAGTGGTAGCTGTGGCCGCCTGGCCAGTTGCAGGGGCTGGATTGTGCTCTTGGCACTGCAGCTGTGGATGGAGCCCTTGGTGCGTGTTGAGAGACTGTTTCTCAAGCCCAGTGAGACTTTGGTGGGCCAGGGGACACTGGGTGGGCCTGGCGGTGGCTGCCACCACCTGGTTGTACATGCTCATATACACCTGCAGTGACATTACACAAGCCTCTGTGTTGGACCCTTTTCGTGACCTGTGGGTGGACTTGGCCAGGCATTGTGTCTCCCTCACCAAAAGTGAGTGTTTTCCATAATAAACAGGAAATTTCATTCACCTGCAAAAAATGGACTTAGCTCTGTTGGCTGTGAGTTGAGGTGTTGGCAAGTAACCGTGTGTGTGGGGGGCGCTGGGCTCTGGCTGGGGCCTTGGGGATGTGCAGGGGGTGACTGGTGCCTCACTTCACCTCCTCCTTACCCTCTCTTTTCCCACCGTGCTCTAGGCCCCCCACCATCGGGGCAGGGGGAGTGAGGCCGTGTTGGGTGGAGTCTGGGGGTGACCTCATCCCTGCTGCTGTCCTCACTCCTGGGCCAAAGCTAACTTGGGCTCTAGCCCAGCCCATCGGGGCGCCCCGTTCCCAGTGTCTTAGTTTTGGCATCACCGCCTTCCCAGCTGTGCGACTCTGGTCATTTGAACTTGTGTGGGTCTGAGGACAAATCGTTTGTTGAGGGGAGAAGTTGGGCCTCATTTTTGCTGAGAGGGAGCTGAAGTTCAGTCCTGAGTCATCGCTTTTTCAGCGCTGGCTGACCTGCCACTCCCAGAGCCGGCCATAAAAGGCGGTGGCAGTGTGGCCTGGGCAGGCCCTGCAGACTCCCCTGCCCCATGCAGCCACCGCTCCCTGCCATGCTTTCCTCAGCCTGCTCCTCAGCCATCCTTTCTGGTTTCTGCTGACAGCTTCGCTCTGGTGTCCGCTCCGTGGCTCTGGAGCCCAGCTGCAGTGTGCTGGGGCCCCAGGGGCTTGGACTTTGGAACGGCAGCCTGCGAGGGACTTGCTCCATGCCTGCCACACTGAGCATGGGGAGTCTGGCGCCCCGTCGTTTCCAGCCAGCTGCCAAGCTGATTGCTCCCCAGCCCAGATTGAATTTCAGGCACAGGGGCTTTGCTGCACCCCTCCCCCCGTCGATTCCACCTCACCTCCACCCTGTTACGAAACCCCAACTAGCTGAGTGGCTGCTTCTGATCAGCGTGCTGTTCCTGGTGTGCTGGGGAGAGAAGGTTGTCCGTCACTGCTCTGGAGAGACTGCCATACTGAGTGGACAGAGGCAGTGGATGTGGGTCTCCCTTAAGTTTCCAGGTCTTGCCACAGAATTAAAGCTGTCCCCTGGCCTCAGAACCAGACCCATCATTTGTCTCTTAGTTCTTGACCAGTGATGCAATCCAAGCTGCTTGTCCCTTGTTCCAGTGTGCCCTGTCACCCCTCTCCTTGCCTGCCCGACTCATGGAAGGCATCCCAGTGCCCAGGCTTGTGTTGGGAGCCCAACATGTTGCCTCATATGACCCTCCCATGATCTTAGAAGGAGGAATTGGTTTTTAAACTTTATAGATGAGGAATGAGTGACTCAGAAGTGAAGAATGTAAGGTCACAAAGTCAGTGACTAGAGCCAAGGGTTAAATCCAGAGCTGTCGTCTTTATTTAAATTTTTATTTATTAGTTTCTTAAATAAATATGTTTTTATGATTTTTTTAGAGAGAGAGAGAAATATCGATGTGAGAAAGAAACATTGATCAGCTGCCTCCAGCACGCCCCCTAGTGGGGATCGAGCCCGCAGCCCCAGCATGTGCCCTGACCAGGAATCAAACTGGGACCTCTCAGTGCATGGGACAACGCTCAGTCCACCGAGTCACACCAGCCAGCCATAGCTGTCTTCTTTGTTTTTTATTTTAAAAAATGTTTTTTTCTTTGTTGATTTTTAGAGAGAGAGGAATGAAGAAGGAGAGAAACATCGATGAGAAAGAACGATTGGCCGCCTCCTGCATGCCTCCCACTGGGGATCCGGCCCACAACCTGAGCATGTGCCCTGACCGGGATTCGAACCAGCGACCTCCTGGTGCATGGGTCGATGCTCAACCACTGAGCCACACGGGCTGGGCCAGAGCTGTCTTCTTTGAAAGCCTGTGTTCTTTCTGAGTGTAAGGGGGAGGCTGGGACCCTGTGGCTTCAGGGTAGCTTCAGGCTCGAAGACAACTCTGAAGCACATTTGAACCTGGGGGACCTGGCAGCCAGAATGTTTATCTAACCAGGCAGGGGGGCAGGGTTCTGGCCTGACCTCTGACCTTTCTGGAGCCTGGCTGTGGACTTGCTGCAGCCCTGGGGCTTGGCATACTGCACAGGTTCCTTAGGAAAGGGACCGCCTTCCTTGTGGCTCTGTACGTCACACTGGGCCTTTTCTTGACACTTTGTCCTTTTCTTTGGTCTCCTCCTCTACTGCTTACTTTTCTGTTGCCACAGTCTAGAAAACACAGGTCTGAATCCCCACCTGGTCGGGGGATAGAGATCAGTTTGGCTGGTTTCTGGACAGTGTCACCGGCTCTTCTTAAGAGTGACTTCTCTGGCTAATTCTCCAGAGCTTGACTGCACTCTGGGAAGTACTGGTGGGAAGTACTGCATCGGGGTGGCCTGTGGGTAGCAGCTGAAGAACGCAGAGTCGGAGCCCAGGGAGGAGGAGGCTTGCCCAGAATCGCCCAGAGAGGAAATGGCAGAGTGGGGGTTGGGACCCAGGCTTACCAAAGACTCTTAGGTCATTGTTTCCACAGGGGTTCCTATCTCCTTAGCATTCCTAAAAGGTGAGAAACAGGATTTTAATTTCTGGGAACAGTGGAAGAGATGGAAACATTTTGAAGAAGCGTAATTACAAAATAGGATACAAGTTAGACCACCAATACAGAACTCCAAAAATCCACTGGCTTAAACAGATATCAGGTAGTTTATGTGAAAAAAACAAAAACAAAAAACGGTCCAACAAGGCCATCCTAGATGCTCAGCTTTCATCTCTGAACCCAAGGTAGCTGCTTCGGCTCCTGTCATCACATGCACATTCCATTCCTTAGGAAAGGACAAAGGGCTCATACTCCTTTTCTTGTTCATTTCTGCTGCCAGACAGCTGGAGGGGGTGGGGTGGTGAGTCCAGCTAAAACAAGACAGTTTTGTCATTGAAGGAAGAATTCCGGTTAGCTCTTGCTGCCACAGATGGCGCTGTTCCCCATTGGGTGGTGGGAACCAGCAGTGAATGGAATGGAAGGCTAGACCTCAGTCCAGCCACTTAGAGTAGTATTTAAGACTTAGCGAGGGAAGTGGTTTGTCACACTTTATAAGTGCGTTGTAGAGCAGAGGTCAGCAGATCAGCAGACTTTTTCTATAGGGATCAGAGACTTAATATTTTTGGCTTTGCAGGCCTTATGGTCTCTGTTGCAACAACTGAACTTTACAGACAAAAACAACCATGGGCAGTTCAGCTGGGGTGGCTGTAGCCCAGTCTGACTTCACTTATAGAAGCAGGTGGTAGGCCAGATTTGGACTCCGAGCTATAGTTTGCCAGCCCCTGTTGTAAAGAACACATGAGATTCCTGCAGAACAGGGAGCCTGGACAGGTAGCAGCCACAGGTAGTCTTGCTGTTTTTCGATGTTACTGCTGTGCCAGGGCACCCGGCTGGCAGCACCTGAGTCTGTCCTCGCCACACAGTGCTGAGCCATGCTGCTGGGGTCTCCTCCTCACTCCTGCCGTAGACTGACCCACTTCAGAGCTTGAGCTTTGTGGTTTCCTTTGCATTTATTTATTTTCTAAGCATCTCTTCTCACCCCAGGATATTTTTCCGTTGATTTTTTTTTTTTTTAAAGAGAGATAATGGGGAGGGAGGGGAGAGAGAGAGAGCGAGCGAGAGAAAAAGAGAAACATCAGTGTGAGAGATACATTAATTAGTTGCCTCCTGCCCAACCTTGACTGGGGCCTGGAATCAAACCTGTGACCCTTTGGTCCATAGGTTGACACTCTAACTGCTGAGCCAAACTGGCCAGGGCTCTAAGCATCTCTTAATACTAGGTGTTCCATGGGTGGGGGCACTACTCTACTGGGTGCAGAAATGGGGGGACCTGATGACTCTGCCCTCAGGGTGCTGCTGTCCATGTGAGTGCATTCTGGAATTTAAATGACCTCAGGTGGAGAGGTACCAGGCTAAGTCAGAGCTGCCTGTCCCCTGGGGCCCCTGAGCTCACCCTTCTCTTCCCACAGGTTATGACTTCGCGGCTGTCCTGGAGTGGTTTGCTGAGCGGGTCGACCGCATCATCCTGCTCTTTGACGCCCACAAGCTGGACATCTCTGATGAGTTCTCAGAAGTCATCAAGGCCCTCAAGAATCACGAGGACAAGATCCGTGTGGTGCTGAACAAGGCTGACCAGATCGAGACCCAGCAGCTGATGCGGGTGTATGGGGCCCTCATGTGGTCCCTGGGGAAGATCATCAACACCCCCGAGGTAGTCAGGGTCTACATCGGCTCCTTCTGGTCCCACCCACTCCTCATTCCTGACAACCGCAAGCTCTTCGAGGCGGAGGAGCAGGACCTCTTCAAAGACATCCAGTCTCTGCCCCGGAACGCTGCCCTCAGGAAGCTCAACGACCTGATCAAGAGGGCAAGGCTGGCCAAGGTAGACTCGGTGGGGTACAGCCTGCACTGGGCCTGGGAATTGGTCTGCCCTGCCTTTTGGGATGCCCAAGATCCATTTCTGCAGACCCCCAGCCACAACCCCATTGCACTGTGTCTGAACCAGTCCATCCTCTGCACCTGTGGGTACAGCCTTTTTAAAGTGATATTCTTCTTAATGCACATAAACCTCAAACTAGAAGGTACCACTGTACCAACCTAGGGCAGCCTGGGGAGTGGGGATGCAGTTTAAGGCCTCATGGGTTTCCCCTCTCAGGTCTCTTGAGCACTGAAGTACACTTTGCTGGCACTGGGGACACAGTGGGGACTAATTGGTCCCCACACTTTTAGCACTGGTCTGCCATATGGGGAAAAGCATACAGCATTAAGCATAATTTATTAGTATCATCTGGGGAGACCATGGGCTGCTGCAGAAGCAGGTAACTGGGGAGCTCTGTTGGCTGGGACACGCTGGGGGACCTCTAGTGGGAGCTGACACTTAAGCCCGGACAGGACGCTAGTGGAGAGGTGGGTTTTGAGCCTGTGGGCCCAGAAAGAATGCAGTGGCTTCAGCCCTCAGAGGCCTTGCCAAGCCATCCCTACCCCTCCGTGGAAGCGCGGGGCCTGCTGGCAGCATCTGAATTGCTCGAGTTTGGAATCTCAGTGCCTGGCCAAGCACGAGACCCTGGGGTGGCTGGGGCTGGGAAATGAAGGTTAGTGCCACCAGTGGACCCTGCGAACACAGAGGAACAGAGCATGTTCCCTGAGGGCATCTGATTTTGAATATTGCTGAGTCTTGAACCTGCTGGGTAAGTCTTCAGGCTGGGTCAGTGAGCACATGAGGGTCACTGATCGTGTGGCACAGAGCTTGGCTGTCAGCCTGGGCTGGTGAGCTCTGGCAGCCAGCAGAGGCCCTTGTGCATCACCGATTCTCTGATGAAACAGCCGTGGCGAGCAGCTGGCGTGCAGAGGATAGGAAGGCAGTCCTGTGGCCAGTGAAGCAGTCACCTGAGCTCCTGAGTATCATAGGACTGAGGAAGAGGGCTACCCCGCTGGGCGGCGGGCCCTGTCCTGGGAGAGGGAAGAGCCCTGTAGGCCATGCTCCTGCCTCTAGGGAGGCGGCTGCCCGTGTCTAGCCCTGAGATTTTTGTGTTGTTATTAATCCTCACCTGAGGATATATTTTCCATTGATTTTTAGAGAGAGTAGGAGGGGGCGAACACATTGTTGTGAGAGAGACAGATTGGTTGCCTGCCACACACGCCCCAACGGGCCCAGGATCAAACCTGCAACCTAGGTACGTGTCCTTGACTAGAAATTGAACCCAAGACCCTTCAGTGCGCTGGCCAGTGTCCTCACTACAGAGCCACAACGGCCGGGGCTGGCCCTGAGATTTTGAGACTCCACCATGGAGAGAACACAGTGGCCCAGGGCACCCCACACTGTCTTGAGACCTGGTGTCAGGTAGCATTTGGCCTGAGTAATGAGAACTGACCCTTATCCTTTACCACCGGGCTGTGTCTCCACCCTGGTTACCCAGAGTCCTCCTGGGCCAGCAGATTAGAGCTTGCTAGAAGATTGCTAGGTTCTCAGGCCCCGCCTCCACCCTGCTGGACCAAGTCTGCATTTGAACGTAACCCCTGGTGATCTGTGTGCAGAGTGAAGTTGCAGAAACCTGCTCTGGAGGACACAGGGCTGGACGTTTTTCTAGATATATCACTGGAGCCTTCCTGGTGGGTGCAGCTTGTTCTCAGAAAGGGACCCTTGAGAAAACCTGAGTAATTGGCTCCTGGCCTCAGAGGACTGAGGAACACCCCGAGCTGAAAGAGGAGAGGCAGTGAATGGAGAAGAGACAGGTCCAGCCCCTGCTCAGACCACAGAGAAGGGCAGCTCCCCTCTCTCCCAGCCCAGCCCCTCTCCCCCTGCCCAGCCCCTCTCCTGGCAGGGCTGCCAGTGCTCTGCCCCAGCCTCCTTCCAGGATAGAACAAAGGGCAGACTTTGATCTAGCCTGTTCGTTTACAGAAGTGGTTGTGTAATCTCCTGGCCTAAGGGCACATTGAGTCACCATCTTGTTCCCCACCTACTGTTCCTTTTCCTGGAATGAGTGGCTCTCTCTGTGGCTGACCCTCTGGCCTGTGACTCTGTGACAGGCCTGCTTCCCTTGGGCCATTCTCAGCCAGTCTCCTGGCTCAGGGAGACGGTCAGGCCAGTGGAAGGGATTTGATGGGGTGGAGTGTGGGAGAAGGGGGGTGAGGCTGGCTGCCTGGTGGCAGCCCTCCAAGTCTGGACATTGCTTGGCAAGGCAGTGGATTTGAAGGGCTGGTGCCCTTTGAGGGTTGCCAACATTATCGGCCCGCTGTGGAGAAATAAAAGGTGTGCCACCTTGAACTGGCAAATGTCTGAGCAAGGTATTGAAGAAGCTAAGGTAAAGCCTGAAATATCTGGGGAAAGCCTTGTGGCATTTTTCTAATCCTTAGTCATCCTTAAAGCTTTCATGATGACAAAGTGGAGCATAGTTCAGGCCATGTTGGTTTTATGACCTTGACATGAGTGTGCACATATTGGCATATGCAGAATGGCCCTGTGCCTCAGCCCTAGGCAGGGGCCGCTGGGGGAGGGAGGCCATGTGGACAAGCAGCGTGTGGGCTTTGGACTGCCTTGGGCCTCCCAGGTTACTGTCCCAGCTTTCTGGGGCAGCCCAGGTGCAAGCCACACTCCTGACAAGGTGTCGAGGAAGCCGGTGATGTCCGCCCCTTCCCTGTCTTCACAGGTTCACGCCTACATCATCAGCTCCCTCAAGAAGGAGATGCCCAATGTCTTCGGCAAAGAGAGCAAAAAGAAAGAGCTGGTGAACAACCTGGGGGAGATCTACGCGAAGATCGAGCGGGAGCACCAGATCTCTGCGGGCGACTTCCCGAGCCTCCGCAAGATGCAGGTCCGGCGTCCCTGCACCCTGAGCAGGCTGGTGGCCAGGAGGGAGTGAGGCGGCCCGGGCACTGGGGCAGTGGGGCTCCGTGGGGTGGAGCTCCCGAAATGGAGGCAGCTGGGTTAATCAGTCTCTCACCCGAATCGGAGTTGACCCAGGTCCTGAGGGAAATGGGGTAACAGCCTGGACAGTGGGGAGAGGAGGGACGGTCCCAGGCACTCTGGCCTCTTCCCAGTTCATTCTCTCCTGGCCCTGCAAGGTAGGGGCTGTTTTTACCTTCCACTTTACAGACTGGGGAGCCAAGGCCCAGTGGGGTTAACCAAGTTGCCCGAGCTGTTAAGTGGTTGGGATTGTGACGAGGCACTCGCTCTTTCTCTTGGGGACTCTTGCTGTGCTCACTCCACCCGGAGTCTGGAAGGGGCCCAACCCTCCCTTCTCCCTCCCCACCCACCACAGGAGCTCCTGCAGACCCAGGACTTCAGCAAATTCCAGGTCTTGAAGCCCAAGCTGCTGGACACAGTGGATGACATGCTGGCCAACGACATCGCCCGCCTGATGGTGATGGTGCGCCAGGAGGAGTCCCTGATGCCCTCCCAGGTCGTGAAGGGCGGCGCCTTTGATGGCACCATGAACGGGCCCTTTGGGCACGGCTATGGTGAGGGGGCCGGTGAAGGCATAGATGACATCGAGTGGGTGGTAGGCAAGGACAAGCCCACCTATGACGAGATCTTCTATACGCTGTCACCCGTCAATGGCAAGATCACCGGTGCCAATGCCAAGAAGGAGATGGTGAAGTCCAAGTTGCCCAACACGGTGCTGGGGAAGATCTGGAAGCTGGCCGATGTGGACAAGGACGGGCTGCTGGACGACGAGGAGTTTGCCCTGGCCAACCACCTCATCAAAGTCAAGCTGGAGGGCCATGAGCTGCCCACCGACCTCCCCCCACACCTGATCCCACCCTCCAAGCGGAGGCTCGAGTGACCACCTGGCCTCCGTGTGTCCAGCTGTCTCAGTGCCCGGCCAGGCAGAGACTGGGGGGAGGGGAAGGGTCACCAGTTCTCAAGGTCCATAAAGACTGAGTGGCTGTTTCCTCAGCTCTTAAAAGGAAAACCACCATCTTTCTTTTAAAGGCTGTTCCTGGGCCCAGCAAGGGAGGCAGGGGTGATACTCGTATGTGAATGGAATTTATGCACAAGAACTATGGATATTTTTAATATATAACGTTAGAGGCGGCCTTCTTTCTTGCCTCCTCCGTCTGACAGCCCCCTGCCTTCACACACACTCTGCCCTCCCTGGCCGTGCTCTGGCTCGCCCTCCTGGCAGCGGCCGGCCGGCGCCGGGGCCCTGTACGCAGGAATGACTGGATCGGTTTGTTTCTAAGCTGAGTGTTGCTCCTTTGGGCCAGTGGCTTCCTCCCCGTGCTCCCGGACTCAGCTGGTTCTTGTGCCTTTCGTCACCCCTCAGCCCTCTGCTCGCATAGCCTCCCACCCGTCACTTGCAGTCACAGAAGCAAGGCCCAGCTGCCTTCTTTGGGGGGGGTCGGGGGGGTGCGAAAGAAAGTCTTCCAGAAAATATATAAGCTAGTTTGGGTTCTGTAAAAGGTAACACCTTTTATACTTGACTGAATTTTCCAGCAACTTCCAAACACTCGTTCAGAAGCTGTGATTTTTGTCTCCTTTCCCACACTCCAACCAGGGGCAGCTTCACCCAGAAGCCATTAGAGAGGGGTGTGTGCAGAGCTCACCCCACCAGGGACCCCAGAGGTGGTGTTTTCTGCTGCACCTTCTCACTTCCTGGCACATTCTAGTGCAGCTCCCTGCCCAGCTTGGGGTGGGTGCTCCGTCCTCATGGACTTGGTATGGCTTGGTGTTCCAGCTCCGGCCGAGTGGCCAGAGACCAGGGACAACCTAGCCCCTTCCCTCTTTCACCCCCCTTCTTCCCTCTGCTGAGCAAAGGAAGGTGATGTGACTGCGATGCCTTTAGAACAACCCATCCCCAGGCTGAGCAATACATGAGGCAGCGAGTGGCCAGCTCAGGCCCCGCACAGTTTTGCTTCAGCTGGGCCGTCTCAGCACAGCTTTGGGGGCTGGACGTTCTCCAGGCTGCAAGGCCTGGAGCCATCATCACAGAGCCACTGGCGGAGCAGGCTTCCCACAGGCACTCCCATGGGGTCTCAGGGATTCCTCCACTCTGGTCTCCAGCCCCTACCCACCCCCCCAGTGCTGCTCTCCAGGCTTCCGTCCGCCAGGTCCGAGTGGCCGGGACCTGGCCTGGTTACGTCCAGCCGGCCTCGGCCTGCCATTCCATACGGTATTGGTATTAGGTGAGGTGGGCTGCATCGCTGAGAATTCACCGTTTCAGGTGCAGTGGCTTATCCTTGTTCGCCTGTGGGGAGAAAACAAAGACAAGACTCTCGCATTAAAAAATGTTTAACTGCTGAAACTGGCTTCTGCTGCTTCGTTTCTCAGGTCTGCTCCTGCAGTGCCTGCTGGGGCACTGGCAGAGCATTAGGGGGCTAAGACGCCAACAGGAGCAGGTTGGCAAGCCTGCCAGGTGACATCCACGCCATCGTGCTCGGCTCTGGCAGCTACTACCTCTTAGTGGACGCCTGCAAACGGGGCTGATGACCCCTTTTCCTTGTGCTCGGGGAGGGGGGGGCTGAGCAGTAGCTTGAGGAGAGGATGGGGTGAAGAAGCAGGGAGAATCTCTGATGACAGAACTAGGCTACTTACCCTGGGGTTTGGGGGAAGGTACCCACCTTGTATGATCTTTACAGCATCTCCAACCTGGGCCCCGCCCTCGACATGGACAGACAGGTGGGCGCCCATGGGGCTCTGGGCACTAGACAAGGGTTGACTGGACTTCGTGCTTGGCCCAGGGGGGTTTAGATACAGTGAAGCTGGTACTCAGACCGAGGACAAAAATACAATTACTAAGGGTGGGGCCAGCCATGTCACACTCGGGGGAAGGGGAACTGTCTGTACCAGCAGAGGGAAGGGAGACACTGGGAGCCGATGCTCCACGGAAGGGCGCAGCTATGTAATCAGGGTGGAGTGCGCTCCAGGCACATTGTGGCAAAAGACAGTATATGAACAGGTGCCCTGGGCTCTGACAGCCAGGTTGCTTGCGCCAGCCTGCTTGGTAGGTGTCTGGTCTGACAGCCAATATCTGATTGCCAGCCCTTCTGGCACCACTCAGACCGTTTGCCTTATACCAGTTTACCTTGACCCCCGTGACGGTGAGGTCGGTGTTCTCCCCATCTCATGGCCGAGTACCTGGGACTCAGGAGGGCTTGGAGAGCAGGTGTGCAGGATGAGATTCAAAACTGGTCTGCCTGACTCCAGGTTGTGAGTCCGGCTCTAATCCAAAGTGCCCTTTCAAAGGAAAAACAAAGCTTAGGGTTCACCCCCCACCCCAGTCCTGCAGCTATAGACTCAGATTTGAGAAATCCACATGGAAGATTGAAAAGATTAAATGCTATCACTACGGCCTGGGGCACTGAGGGCTTGGCAGAGCCCCTCAATTTGCAGGGGTCACCCAAGAGGTGCGGCATGCTGGTTAAAGCTGATGGAGCACAGAGAACCTAAGTTCTCATGGGAGGCACTGCCTGGACGGCTCTGCCCCCTCGCTGAGCCGCTGCCTCGGCGCGTTCCTGCACATCCTACACTTGGCACCCTCCCCAGCATGGAGTGGCAGGCTGAACCCCCTAAGGCTGCCCAGAAAGTGGTGGCTAATCAGAGACCTGAAGGAAGGGCCAAGGGCAGGTGGCTGCAACCCTGCTGGCCTGGAGTTCAAGGCTCTGGTTTGAGTTTTACAGATTGGGGGGCTTCTCTGGCTGTGGTGGGAGTTCAGGGAGGGCCAGTGTGTGTACACAAAGGTGTGGTCACCTTTTGGAGGGCGGCACCTGCCCCTCACCTCATCCCCAGCTCCCTAGCTGGCCAGGATCCTGGGTGAAAGGCCCCCCTTCATGCTGGTTGGGCACAGGAGAGTTGATTCCACCCATACCCAGAGCTGCTGCAGGAAGAGGCCCTTAGAACCATCTGCCATGAGGCGCCTCAGAGCCCAGGACCCAGGAAGCAAGGGGGCCCACCCCCTACTCCGGGCCCCCACACAGGAGTCCTGTTTTATCATAGAGGTTCTATATGAGATCTCATCAAACAAACATTTCTGCCCTGGCCTGTATGGCTCAGCAGTATGAGCGTCGCCCATGGACCGAGGAGTCCCGGGTTCAATTCCGGTCAAGGGCACGTACTTCGGTTGCGGTTCGTCCCCGGCCCCAGTTGGGGTTGTGCGCATGGCAGCCCATCAATGTGTTTCTCTCTCTCCCTCCAGCTCTACCTGAAGATTAATGCCCTCGGGCTAGGATTAAAACAAAACAAAACCAAACAAACGTTTCTGCTCCTTAGTAAATAAAAATGTTACCATGAATCTGACCCCTTGTCCTGTTCTCATCTCAGAGGTAGTCACAGAACTTCCCAAGGCCACTAGGCTGTGACAGGGTTAGGACACCCAGCCACCAGATCTGCCCTCTGCATTCCAAGCACACAGAGGGCAGGCAGGTCTCAGGCAGACAGGCAGAGGGGGCTGCTGCTCACTGGGACTGCCGAGTCTGTGTCCTCTCTCGCCAAGTGCAAACAGGAACTCCTGCTCCATGGAGGCAGGGCCCCCTGGGGTGGCCACCTTTGCTGAGCACCCAATGCAGTTGGTCAGGGTGGGGGTAAAGGTTGATGCAGGGAGCCCAGCACCCCAGCCAACTCCCAGAACAAAGGTAGGACCCACCCTTCCCTAAAGCAGCTTACAGACTTGGTGGCGCCCATGGGCCAGAGGGGTGGTGGCGGAGGGGCTCAGGCATGGCTTCCTGAGCACAGAGAGGGATGGCTAATTATAAAACCACATGGGGCTGCAGCCTCTGTGGAGCGTGGGAGCCCCTGTGGTGTGTTGGAGCAGCGCAGAGAAGGTTTTTGGAAGAAAAGCCAGGATGATGAAATCACCATATGTCCACCCATTTGGAGCTTTGGACTTTTCAAAGGACACACCCCTGGTGTGCTGGGGCGGGTGGGGAGGTGGGAGCGCGGGGCTGCCAAGAGCTAGCTTGGGGAGTGGGGACCCTCAACCCTACCATTTCCATCAGCCCCTCCCCTAAATAGACACACATTTAAATAGAAACTGGAGCTTGAGCAGGAATGCAGCTCCCCACCCTCCAACCACACAGGCTCTTCCTAGAGACAGTCCAGCCACCATTGGTGGCCACTCCGTAGCATTTTCCTCTCACACATGATCTGGGGCGGTTCTCCACTGTGCACAGGGAACAGCCCAGAGAGAGAGGAAGGGACTTGCTCAAGGCCACACACGGTCAACAGTGTGACCCACAGCCAGCCTCTCCTTGTTTTCTGGCTCCCTGAGGCAGGAGTGGGACACTAGGCTTCTGCTTCTGCTTCTGCTTCTGCTTCCACTTCCAGAGTGGCCAAGAGCTGGGCAGCCTGCCATTGCAAGTGACCCTGCTGGGCCGACTGCTGAGAGGGACTTCCTGAGACCGGCTAGGAGCCTCATCCTCGGACACTGGGCCTGGATCTCCACCTTGGGGAGGGAGCCACAGGTCGAACTCAGGAGATCTAAGACATGACTCTGGATGTGACAGACACCCCCACCCCCACCCCAGCCTGCCTGTGTCTGAGCCACTCCCTGACCCAGAGACCTATGCTCTGGGGGTGAGAAAGCCCAGGTCCCTGCCACTCCCTTGCACTGGGCTTCACCTCTCCTACTTTGGGGACCTCCTTATCTAAACCACCCTCTTTCTGCTAGGCCTGGGTGGTAGAACTGACGGTTTCTTTTTTCTCATCATCCAAGACCCTTTGCAGAAACCTACATCAAATCCACCACTGTCTGGCCTTTCCCTGTCCCCTGTCCTCAGCCTCTGGGGCCACACCTGCCCTTCTGCTGCCAGGCACTGGCCCTGGAACCTGGAGAAGCTGAGGCTGGCACCACCCACCTCCCACCTGCCCAGCTTCAAGGTATTAATCTGTTAAGGGAGGGTAATAACTCCATCCTCTGGCAGGGCCCTTGTGAAGATAGCAGATCTGTAGCTGCTTTGAAATGCTAAGAAGGACCACAGGAATAAATGTGTCATCACCACCATAGATTGGCTGTCCCCAGGGCTCTGGGTGAGAGAGTGCCAGCATCTCAATACCCAAGGGGCTGGGAAGGGGGAGAGGTTATGGGGGAGCAGGTGCCCTGCACCTAGGTGGGCCCCAGGGAAGCAGTGACCCAGGAATGTGAATGAAGTGATAGGACGGTCTCCTGCTCAGACTCACTGGGTCTGGCTCTCTGCCACAGGCACACAGACCCTGCTCCCTGGGTGAGGCCTGTGCAGCCCTAGTGGTCTGGCTCCCACAAGGTCAAAGAACAAATCTGCTGGGGCAAAGCAGGGTCAAGTGCAGGAGCTGTTTCCGATGGCAGGCTGGAGGACTGGCTGCTTATTGAGCCTGGAGCAGGGGTTCAGGTACAGACTGAGTCTTGAGGGGCTTTCTGACCTTGGAGCTGCAAAGGAGTGAGCAGGGAGCCAACCCCCTTTTACAGACAAGGAAACTGAGGCTTGGAACAGGATGTGACGAAAACAAATACAGGGCCAAATAGAATCAAGTACCAGATGGACTGCCCCATGTAGACATTGGCGGGTCTCAGTTTTTGTCTGGTTCCACCCTGCTGTTCTTTTTTTTTTCTTTATTGATTTCTAGAGAGAGAGGAAGGAAGAGGGAGAGAGAGATAGCAACATCCATGAGAGAGAACGTTGATTGGCTGCCTCCTGCATGCCCCCCACTGGGGATTAGGCCCACAACCTGGGCATGTGCCCTGACTGGGAATCAAACCGTCAACCTCTTGGTGCATGGGTCAGTGCTGAACTGCTGAGCCATACCAGCCTGGCCTGCTGTTCTATGTGGGGATGGAGACTGAAGAGTGAGAATTCAGCATTCAGAGAGGCTAAAGGAACCTGCCCATGGTCACACAGGGAGTGAGCCAGGTCCCTGAGGTCTCACTAGGTGGTCCTTGACTGCTGATCCCTAGGGGCTTGGGTGGAGTGGGGCAAGGGATCAGGGTGTCCAAGAGGAGCAATGAGGAATAATCCATTTTCCTAACCAGGAGCCTTTCCCTACCCTCTAGTTCCCTAGAAGATGAGAACTTGGGCCTGTTCCGATTACTTGGCCCTCCTCTGGTCTCTGGCACCCCCCAGTGGCCTCCCAGGGTACAAACCTCACTGTGGGCCCCACCCCTGCCCCGCCCCCAAAGGAGGGCCCAGAATGCTACAGGTGAGAACCAGAGGCATAAACCACACAACCCAACCCCCCTCCCAGAAGACACACAAGCGGTTGGATTTATTTATTTTATAAAATTGAAAGTAATAGCTTTCTTTTAAAAATATTTTTCTTTATTGATGTTTTAGAGAGAGAAGAAGGGAGAGGGAAAGAGAGAGAGAGGACCATCGATGAGAGAGAATATTGATTGGCTGCCTCCTCCATGCCCCCCACTGGGGATCAGGCCCACAACCTGGGCATGTGCCCTGACTGGGAATCAAACTGGAGACCTCTTGGTGCATGGGTTGACGCTCAACCGGTGAGCCACACCAGCCAGGCCAGGCATTTAGATTTAAATACTGGTTCCCTTCCCCCACCTGACTTGGGTAAGGAGAATGCCAGAGAGTCTGTCTTGGTTTTCCCATTTCACAGACCAGGGACAGGTCTCAGAAGAGATCAAATGGAGAGACCCTTGGGGAAGTCCTGGGGCTACTAGGGATGCTTAGTTGGCTCCAAGGATATTCAGAGTGCCTCCTCCCTCGAGGCTGGCAACCTGACCCAGCCAAAAACCCCCAAAGAGATCTTTTTTAATGGAAGAATTTGTTATCTAAAGCCATAAAAACCCCACCCTTTAATCCCTCCTCTGAGACAGACCCACAGTCCTATGGCATCTGGTCTGGCCCAGC